GTATTCTCTGCATCTCCTGAAAGTGAGTACATGGTCTGTCCACCACTAGAAATAACCCAGTTTTACAGTGCCCAGAAATCCACATATAGTCCAAAGGATGGGCAGATTTTTGCTATCATTGTTGTTGTTCTTCTCGAGCCTCCTTCTGCTATGTTGTCTCTGCCTGGAATCAGCCTCTCCCTTGGAAGTCCTTCCTCCATTCTTTTCCACCCACTTCTCCTTGGGAGCTCAGTTTCATTCTGCCACCACTCTCTATGCTCAAACCAGCTAGTCCTATTTCAAGCTGTCACCATTCAGATCAAAATTAGCAGATTCTTGTTACCTGGATTTTCCTATTCTTGAGAGTAGAGTTCTCTTAAAACTAAACTCTTTCTCTGGCTGACACCACTCACTCCTGAAGACATAGCTATAATGTGTTGTGATTAAAAGGAACAACAGTAGGAAGAAGCAAAGGGGATGAAGTAGATAGAACATTCTATCCTGCCCTACTGATTTTATCTCACTAGACTGAGTCTCTGTTCTCAGCACCACAAGAGGTCTCCACACTGGACAGTTTGTGAGCTGACACAGAGATTTCTAAAGAACTTATGCTTTTTTCCCACTGAATAATATTTGAATCAATGTATATTTAAAATATAGATACACATTAGTCCCTTCTCAGTGTCCTATAGTTCTATAATTGCTGAGAGAAGGAAGTGCTGTTAAGGGCTAGAATAGTGACAGAAGGTTTTGTGAATAGATGAGGCTAGAACCGAACCTGCCAGGGTGGGCAGAATTTGCAGAAGTGAAGCAATGTAAATAGGACTTTGTAGGCAAATATGAAAAACAGACATAGCAGAAAGGGATCAGAAGACCGAGTCTGTGTACCAGGCTAGTGGGATGGAGACTGGAACTCTGTCGTGAGGTAGAATGAAAATGTATATTAAGACCAGACGCTCATAAATATACTTGAATGCCAGTGACAGAGGGAAAACTTGACGGTCTTTGAGCAAATGAAAATGGCATTTTAGAGAGATTAACATTCTACTTGGTGAAGTAGGCTTTGGGGCAAATAGACATCTAGCAAAGGTAGATCATGAGAGGAACCACTACAGTAATGAGGCTTGAGCAACCAGGGTCCCAGCTAAAGTGATGCAGTGGGAACCAAGAAGGAAGCACAGATCTCAGGGTTTTTATAGGACGATGTGCCACTGCTTAGAGCAATCCAGTCAGCAACACTTTATTTTAGCACTCTTCTCAAACCAGTTAATTTGCCCTTCAGATGTATCTTCCCTGAATATGTAAACTCTCTCATTAAGATACAAGCCATATGCTTTCTTTGAAGCTAAGCCAGACCCCACCTAACGCTGGCCTTTACCTCTTTTTTCTCATTGGTAATCAGCTCACTGAAGCAGATGTTACTTCCTGACTCCAGAGATGCCAACAGCCTCAAAAAGAAATGGATTATAGAATTGGGGTCTGCACTCAGCATGATCCAAATATGGAAATCAAACTGAGGCCTTCCTAGGCTCCATGCTTGGCCAGGAGAATGAGAAAGGGCTTAACGTTGGGCCTCAAAAGGCACTGTGGTTACCAGAGTCATAGCGGGCCCATTTACTTGCCTACAGAAAGTCTTGCCAGTAACAACAATTAAACGCTAATGGCGTACTTTCAATTTACCTCCATGGATTAATTTGGCAAATATTTACTGGCTATGTACCAGGCATTAAACAATGCTTCAGGGATAAAGAGACTCAAAGGGCACAGTTCTTGCCTTTGATAAAGTTTCCAGCTGGGTAAAAGACAGAGACCTATCAACAAGTAAAGAACATTACGGTGGAGGGCCACTGCTTATCCTCTGCACCAAAAAATTGTAATGATCTGATGCTGTAGAGATAGCGAGTTTGGGATTAAAGTCTTCCCACAGCATACTTTTCAATAATCACTTGGAAGGTCAAGAAGCTACATATAAACACCTTACATTAAACCTTTTATTTGAATAAAAGCTAAAAGGAAAATTAAAATCAATAAGTCCTCAGTACAACCTGGGAGTCTTCTCCAGAATAAGATTTTTGCCTTCTTTCTTGGGCCTTTATTTAACCAGTTGTAGTTGCACCGTCTGACCTTCTCATACAGAAGCCTTGAACTTCACGATGTGAAGGCCCCTGTTCTCCGTCCCTAGAGTGAGTCAGACTGCCGACACTTAGCAGCAGAGAATTTCAACCAACAGCAATAGGAATAGCAGGAATTGGAAGGAAGATAGCCCAAGCTCTTAGTGAAATCCTTCTGAAAGAGTTGCAGAAAGAGAGTCCAGAGGTTTTGGTCTAGGAAGTTTAGAGAAACTGGAAAGCTATTGGTGAACATTAAATTTTCTTTGTGAATTATAACCATTTCTTTACAGAGAGAATCCTGTTCCTCAAAGGAATTGCTTTTCAGTGACAACAATAGAAGTCATCTTAGGAAAAGATTAACCCAGGATCACTAAGTAAAGAACATACTTTTTTTATTAGTCAGTTAATTTATATTTTTCTGTAACAGACTGTTGGTCTTTGCTAAGAATTAGAACAATATATGATGATGAGTCATTGCTTTTCTTTTTGTTTTAAAGTGTTTTTGTTTCATCGTGTTTTGTTTTTTAGTTTAAATGAGGTGGTTTCTAGTAAAGGGGGATATGCAAGGTTAAAGTTGGAGTAAGCTAAGAAAGAGCTGTTGACTGGAAATAAATGCTGTCATTATACTGGCTTTAAAGATTATTTCAAACCTTAGGAAGAGAAGAAGAAATTGAGAATCATTTTTTTTTTTTAATAGAAATTGTAGATATCACGTCTCTAAATAGTTTCAGGCTAGTTTCTTTGGAAAGTATATTGCTTCCTTCCCTACCTCCCATATCCTTGTTACGTTTAGCTTAATAATAATGTGAGAGGCCAAAAAAGCTTTTAAAGCTGATTTCCTTCAGTTTGTAATTCCTTGCCAGCAACTGGAGGACTGGTTGGCCATGACTTCTGCAGTCTCCTGGCTATTTGTGAAAGCATAAAATGAAACAAAGTACACACATGTACACACACACACACACACACACACACACACACACACACACACACCCCAGTGCAAAATAGCACCACAGAAAAATATGTTGACATTAACTTAATTTCATTAAAACTAGAAGTGGTAAAAGAGATAATAAATCCCATTAGTAGATTATTTTCTTGTCCTCAAAGTGAAGTGACTGCTGATCAACAGCATTTCCCAGAGAGGTAAGTTATATGCTACATTTGGGTGTGGTGGAGACAAGGCCTGGATCTTCTGTAAGTCAAGGACAAGCCAAAGTCATGGACTCTAGAAACGTTGAAGTGAAATCACAGGTTGTTTTCTGTGTTTTTCAAGTGAACACAAATAATTTGACAGCTGTGTTTCACGCCACTGGAGTCCTGTGAACACCCACCCATCCCAGAAGTCACTTAGAGGGGTACGCAGCAAGGTAATTAGTAAGATATCCAGTTCAACTGTGCAGCCAGGTGCCAGAGGTGGTCAGCAGATTTAAGGTGATTACTTTACATGTGGAGTAAGGCAGAATTCCACAGTTCCTCTTCTTGCCGACTTATGAATTTTTCTCTTGTTAATCAAAAAAATTCTAGAAAGTTGTATGAGTCACAAAGGCACTGAAAAACATCAATACAACGTACATTGAACCAAAGTTGCCCCATGTCTAAATTATTCTCTAGTAATGATGGTTTCACATAGTTTAACATTTTAAAGTATATGTTATCAGCGTTCCAGTAAGTCTAGCATGGCTCTTCCTGCAAAGAGAGAGCCATTACCTTTATTCAAATTAAAACACAAAGGGCTCGATTTCCCATTCATGAGGAGGGTCAGTGAACGTTCGATGACAAGTGACCAAAGAAGCTACCAGCTCTATTTCACCACTCATTCTTCAGCTTGTACATATTAAGTCCAGTCCAGGAGAGAACTGTAAGAGACTCTGTCTTCCTTAGTTCCAGGTGGAACGGCACAATATAGCAATATAAATGGCTCCCTTCTCTTACCACAGACTCATCCTCAAATATCATTTCTCTAAAGAGATGGTACCTGACCAATGGTTTAATGGAAGGGGCATGCAAAATCCTGCAGTAATTCGTTCAAAGATATATCATTCGTTGATGGAAGAGCCTAGACAGTAAGCTCCACTGTTTGAGTTCAGTTCATTTTCCATGATGTGCAGATTGTAAATGGTGGATTTTGATTCATGTTCTGAAGAGCAAGAGGATAGGAGTATTCGATTGTGGCTAATCACATGCTGAGCCTATGACATAAATTCATTCAGTCTAGCTTTTCTGGTATTTATATATTTCTATAATATGCCAGCTCTAGTCTTCAGAGTTGCCTACGTATAAGATTCTGAACAAAAAAATCCTAAACTTCT